CGGCGCGCCGAGGGCGCGCCGCGGCGGCCGGGGGCCCGTCAGGGCTCCGCGACGTCGCGGATCCTCGCCGCCGCGGAGAGAGGGCCCGGGCGGCCGGCGCGCGGCGCCGAAGGGCGCCCCGCGCGCCGGGGAGAGCTGCATGTGTGCGCCCCTGCCCCGCGAGGCGCGGGGCGCCCCCCTGCGGTGCGGGCGGGCGTGCGGCCCCTGCGGGCGGAGTCTGGGCGTTAACGAGCAGAAGTGCGCGGCAGAGTGTGCCAGAGTGGTCGGGCAGAGATCGAGCCATGGGCCCCCGGACCAGTTCTCCACCCTCCCGTGCGTGGTGCTGGGTCCTCGCTTGGAAGGGGCGGTCCCCGCGTTCCTCCTCTCTCCTCCTCCTCCTCCTCCTCCTCCTCCTCCTCCTCCTCCTCCGCCACCTCCTCCTCCGCCACCTCCTCCTCCTCCTCCTCTTCCTCCTCCTCCTCCTCCTCCTCCTCCTCCTCCTCCTCCTCCTCCTCCCCCTCCTCGGCGCGATATGATGTTGGGAAGGCCAACGCATCCATACCAGGCCTGTGAGCAGCTCTTAGCCCAAGACGAGTGCTGGGGGCATGTGTTCTTCCAATGCCCCGCACTCTATTTGCTGATGCTCCCATGCCGCAGGATACAGGGGCGACTGATGGCCAGGCCGTCAGCGCACCCCCTGAAGTTCGGTTGAGTTGCGGCGAAGATGATGATATCTCACCCGCGGTCAGCGAGCAAGATGGGGCGACTGAGTGCCACGCCTCCGGTGCACCTGATGGAAACACGAGCTTGGCAGGACAGTTCTCTGACCCATGAGGTCGACGTGAGAACGAGAATGGGACGGAACAGCATCCTACGCCTGGAGGGTCGGACCCGAAGGTCGTCGTCGAGCCACCGCCGGCGGCGAGGGCCCTGGCAGAAGGCGCTCCCGACCATCTGCTGGAGGTGCGCGAGCGTTTGCTTAAGGCTGGCATGATAACGGGCGTCCCCTCCTACGAAAAACCCTACATGGTGTTTGGCCTTCCTGAGCCGCCAACTGGAATTCCAAGTGCCGCTTCGATTGGTACTGGCTGCTTTGAATGGGGAGACTCGGCAAAACAATGGGGCCCAAAATCTTATATAGATGGCTCAGGCTACGCCTCGGGCATATCTTGAGCGGCTCCGGCGCTCGATAGAGGAAAGTGCCCAACAAATAATCACGGACAGCGCCAACAATTAATAGGGGCCGACCCGAAAAATAATGAACGTGAGCTACCAATAATTTGGCAATAATTGCCGCGTGATTCTAATAATTCCGAAACCCCGAAAACGTCAAACGCAGATCGGAAGGTCGAGACCGATGGCAGGGGCGCATGACCGCGCGACAACCCTTCCACACCTGTGTTTCATACACCAGCGACACGCCAAAACGATCACAGGCATCGGATGGTGGATCGGACCGTCGACCACAGCGGGGGGCGAGGAGGTGAAGGAGGAGGAGCAGGCGGGAGAGCAGTAGGATCAGGAGGACGAGGGGGTGGGAGACTGGCTGTTTCCCACGCGGCCCGCGCGACGCGAGACCACAGGCCGTCGCGGGCAAAGTGCCAGACCGCAGGCAAGCGCCCGCGATAAGAGGAAAAAAAAAAAAACGCGAAGAGCTGAGATGGAGGCAACCGAACGCACCCCGTACTCTTGCTACAGCAACCGTCTGCGCCACGGCGAATGGCGCGGTACCCCCTGGTCCTGCGCACCACGCGCCACGCGTTCAACCTTGAGCGCCCGCCTCACCAGGGGTGAGACCGCGACATGGTGTAGCAAGAGTCGGGGAATCTACGCCGCCGCGTGCTTGCTGTTGCTCGTGTTGCTGCTGCTGCTGCTGACCATGTCGTTTAGTTGCTCGTCCCCCTCCCTCGCCATCATCATATGACCAGCGTCCATGCCACGCGGCATCATCAGTAGCACCGTCACCCACGACATCATCCTCGCCGTCGTCATCTACGAGGCGAGGAGGATGCCGTTCTTGATGACGGTGATGTCAACGTAGACTACGTCGGCATCAGCGTCATCAAAAACGGTCTCGTCGACACCTGCAGGGATGTCCTAGCATCGCATACGACATCCACCCCCCTTCTGTCACCCGCTGATGTACTACCTCGCCCGTCCTGCCTCCACCTCCCCAGGGCGCGACTGCCCTCACGCCGCTACCCCAGGCTGGGCCCCTGCACCCAGGGCCGCAGTGCCTGCAGCGCAGGCGGCGGCGCGGCTGGCCGCTCAGGCGGCGGCGCCGCCGCTGCCGGGGGGGCCGCTGCTGGAGGCGCTGCCGGCGGCACCGCTGCCGGCGGCGCCGCTGCCGGCGGCGCCGCTGCCGGCGGCGCCGCTGCCCGCGGCGTCGTTGCCGGCGGCGCCGCCGAAGGCCGCGGGCGCGACCTCGTCGGCCGCGGTCTCGAGCACCTGGCCCCCCTTCTCGAGGGAGGCCGTCACGCACGCGGGCAGGTGGGCCCAGACGCCCTTGCCCTGGAGCTCTCGCTTGAGGCTGTCCGCGGCGGCCTCTGAGGATGCCGCCTCCTCCTCAGTAGCCCTCCTCTTTCCACCTCCCCTCCCCTCCCCCCCCCCTCCTCCCCTCCCCTAGTCCTCCGCCTCCTCTTCCTGCTCAGCTCATCCCCCCCCCGTCTTGCACCCCTCTCCGCCGCCTCCTCGTCGCTCATCCGCCTCCTCCGTGCGAGCCCGTCGTCGTCGTCGCATCGAGCCTTCAGCTTCTTGGGCCCCCTGAGCTGGGGGAAGGCAAACTTCATGCTGAATATCACGTATGTGAGGCTGATGGTGACCATGCCGTCGAGCGCCGCGGCCTCCCACTTGGTCACCATCTCTGGGGGCAGCACGCCAGGGGTTCGGCGAGCGACCTTGATCCTGGCGTCGATGTCGGCGCAGAGCTCGCCCAGGGCTTTGAGCATCTTGTTCGAGACGAGCTCCTTGCTCATCGGGTGCGGGGGCGATGCAAGCAGACTCTCCGCGACGGGCTTCCAGTTTGGCTGCCACTGCTTGATGTTCTCGCAGGCCTGTTCGAAGCCACTGATCCAGCGCTGCTGCGCGGTGCCGAGCGACGTCTCCATGCACTGAAGCGTGTCCCGGCACATGCGGGCCAGCGGGACGTCCTCAAGGAAGGGCACGGTGTCCGGGCCGCTGGCCGAGAGACACGTCTCCAGGTTCTGCGCGAACGTGCTGCTCTTGAAGTCCTGCTCGAGGCGGGGCACGGGGGGGATGGGGGTGCGTGGGAAACTCCAAAGATCGGCTGCTCCCCATCCGTACCGCTCCCCTACCGCCGCCTGAACCCCCTCCGCGGCCTCCCCTCCACGTCCAGTCAGTCAGCCGTTCAACTGCCCCGCGTCTAACGCATCGACCTGTCAGGTGGCGGGCTGGACTCCTAGATCGCGGATCGGGTCGAGCGGAGGGGGGCGCGAGGGGAGGGGGGCGGGGCGGAGGGGGGGGGGGGGGGGGGGGGGGGGGGCGGGGGGGCGCTAACAGCACGGCATGGGGGCGAGAGGGCGGTGGCGGAGGAGGCCGAGGAGGAGGAGCACGAGGCGCAGGAGACGGATCGGCACGGAAGGGGCGCAGGACGAGATCGTCGAGGAGGAGCGCGAGGGGGAAGGATCCCACCACTAGGAAGACCAGCGTTGAATCGGGAGGACAATCGGGGACAAGGCGCGGGGGGGGGGGGGGAAGGAGGAGGGGGAGGAGGAGGAAGAGGAGCAGGACCAGGAGCAGGAGGAGGAGGCGGAGGGGCATGACGAGCAAAAGGATCATGCCCTGTAACACGCCCGGGTCCTTCTCGTCGAACTGGATCCCGCGCGATGCCTCGTGCGCGCGGAACGCGTGGTCCACCGTGCCCAGGAGCGCCTGGTGCGCCGCGAGGGCGGAAAGCCACGAGTCCAGGGCGGCCTTGTCGAGGTCGCCGTGGCACTGGATGAACGGCATCCCCTGCACCCACACTTTGGCGATCGCGACAATGAGGCCAACCTGCGTGCGCAATGCATCTCCAGAGTGGCGCACTGCCTCGACGGCGTCGGCGAAGGCCGTCGTGGCATCTTGGGTGAGCTGGGCGTCGTATCCCTTGCCTACGATCAGGCGGTACTCGCCCACCACGTCATTGTCGTGACACACGTCTCCAGCCCACTGGGCTGTCCAGAAGACGTCAGTGAAGTTACCGAACACCGACAGGCTGCATAACTTCTTGAACGCATCCATGCGGTCAGCAATGCGCGCCGCAAGCAGCGTCTTGATCTCCGTGTACTGGTCAGCCGCCTCGAGTGCGCTGATCATCCGCGCGACCTGACCCTCGAGCTCGTGCCCGTCCCAGAAGTCGTGCAAGAACCGCATGGTGTCGCGGGCCTCGTCCATGTACGTGAGAACGTCGCCGACCTTCGCGTCAGGCTCACGGTAAGTGTGGAACACTCTGACGACGTCGGCTGCAGCGCGTATCATGTTGGCAAGCTGGGTGTACTCCTCCACCCCGACGTCCTTCAGCTTCGTCGAAAGCTTCGGAAGGTCGCTCACCGCCTGGGTCAGGGCCACGGTCGCCCGGGCGCCTGCCTGCCAAGTCGCGTTCTCCCAGCCGGCCTCCTCGAGCGGCCTGCCCAACCAGCCGATGACGGCCGCGGTGAGCTCCTCGCAGAGGGTGGGGACTGGGCCTCATCCAATGCCCCCTCATGCTCTTTCTCATGGTTTAGCTGCGCCTAGTCCCCTCTCCACAACCTCGTCCTACCCATCACCCCTCCTCCGCCCGCCCCCCCATCCACCACCTGCCCCGCCCCCTATCCGTCCCCCGTCCCCCTGGGGCCTGGCGGAACAGCGCGCGGCATCAAGTGGACTGGGGCAGCGTTGGGTGACGGGCCAGGGCTCTGGAGACAGGCCAAAGGGCCGGCTGATGGAAGGGGGGCCGAAGGCATTCCAGCGAGGAAGGGGGGGCCGTCGTTTGATGGGGTAACGAGTTGCTGACCCTATCGGCAATCCTGGCACAGGTCCAACACCAAGTCCATCGCGATCGCGCAATAGTCGTGCAGCGCATCGTCGATGTCCGAAACGCAGAGGTACCTCTCGGACAGGGGAGTCGCCGCAAGCAAGAGGTTCGAGATGGTGCTCAGGTGGCCTAGGACGCTGGTGACGCGCGTCCTGACGTCCATAGATGTGGTTGAGGCGTCCTGCCGGGCGTGCTCACGGGCCTGCTTCACCGAGTTCGCCACGCGCTTCTGCAGCTGGGCGCCAGCGGTGTAACCCTCGATCGCCACCTGCGCGTCGCGCAACACTTTCTTAGCGATCGGCCACTGTGCCGCCGACCCAGCCGTGGGCCAGCGATTGCTCAGGATGCCTGTGACGCACTCCGCCGCCTGCTCAAGCTCCGCCAGGTCGGGCATGACATCGTCCTCGAGCATATGCATCGCAGTCCTCAAGGCGCCCATGTCCGCCTTCAGCTCCGCCGGTGCCCACTCTGGAAGGGTGCGCGCCAGGCGAAGGAGATCGCTCTGCAGATGCGCCTGGTCTCCCTGCGATATCATGCTGATTTTCATTTTCACCATGTCCACGAGCATAGCATGCTGCGCATCGGCGGTCGGGAACCCCGCATCCGACAGTGTGGACGGTTCCAAACAACTCCACATGTTCTCGTCTGGAGCGGCGCCCTGAGAGGGGTGGGGGAGCTCCAACAGTGGATGAGCTGGGCGCGGGGGCTGACTGAGGGGCGCTCCGCCTGCCCCCCCCTCCTCCCCCCTCCCTCCCTGTCGCGACAGCTCGCTGCCCCATTGGCCCTGGGGTGTTCGAGGAGGGTGCCGGGGGAGCGGGATGAGGAGGGCCGGGGGAGGGGGTGGGGGGGTGGGGAGGAGACGCAGGAGGAGGAGGAGGAGAAGGAGGAGGCTGATGGGGGGGCGGGGCGCGACGCAGGAGGAGGAGGAGGCTGAGGAGGAGGAGGAGGAGGCTGAGGAGGGCGGGGGGGGGGGGGGAATGAGGAGGGGGGTAGCGGGGAGCGGGTGGCAATACACCCGAGACAGCCCCCGCTAACACCCACGTCGGCCACCGCAGGATATCCCCCTGACCCTGCGTGCCTCAACCTGCTTGGCAATGAACTGCGACATCATCCAGTGCGGGAACGGCGCAGGCGAAACGGGTGGACTGGCGAGGAAGGCGAGCGACATCCGGTAAGCGTTGAGGAACGCTTTGTCAAACGTCCCAGTCCGCGCCCACGCCTTGGCCATGCTGAGGGCCTCTTGCGCTTGTTTGCGCAGACTTTGGACCGCGTCGCAGTCTGCGTACAGCTCGGGATCGTCAATGCCTTTCATTCTTGCTGCGTCGAGCTCCTCCTTCAGCTTGGACTCGGGGACAATCGTGTCGGTGAACTCGGCCAGAGCTTTGGCTAGCTGCCTCTGGAAGTTCTGCACGCTGAAGTACTTCTCGTCTTGGCTGCAGGCACGGTACTCGGTCATGTGGGTGATCAGAGCTGCCCGTCGGTTTCCTCGCGGGCGACCTGGGCGCCGCTTGTTACTCTCCTGCTCGCTGGTGTCGCTGGTGGCGCCACGATCGGCAGCGCCGCCGACGCCGCCGGCGCCGGCTGTGGAACCACTGCTGCTGGCTGCACTGGAAGCGCGGCGCCTGGCAGCTGCTTTCTTGGGCTTCGCCCCGGCGCCCGCCTGACATGCGTCGGCATGCTGACCTGCGGCCGGGGGCGCCACCACTGGAATGAAAGCAGCCTGGATGCCGCCGAAGATGTTCGGACTGGGCCCCGCCGCAGAGGCGGCCGGCGGCTGACGGGCCGCCGAGGGTGGCGCAGGAGCTGGAGCAGCCGCCTTCGCGAAGATGCTCGGGGCCTCCTCGCCAGGAGCCCTGGCAAATGCGTGCGATAGGCTTGCGGAAAGCCCCGCGAAGGCGCGATCAAGCTGGCCGTCGAACAGGGAGCCCTCGCTGGTCTGGTGAACGCGCCGTTTCGCCACTCCCTGAGTGACGATGTCCTCCTCGCTCCACTCCAGCCTGCCTGGGATGCGCACGCACTCGTGGCCTTCATGCATGATGACCATGTGACCTTTCCCGTTGGTGTTCGGATCTCCGTGCTCCCGCTCGTAGTCTGCCAACAAGAGAATGCGGTTGGGCGCCCGCTTCATGCGAACCTCCCGCTTCTTGAAGGACGACACCGTCTCATCGATGTCCTTCCAAGCGACGCGTGCGCCCCTCGTCCCCTTCTCAGCCACGAAAATGCCAACTGCCTCGTTGCGCCGAATGAAGAATTCCGTGCAGGTGTCCTTCGAGGAGCCAATCAGGGGCACGAGCATGGCGGGCGTGGAGGTAGCAAGCTGGTCCGCGTAGAAGCCTGGCGACTGGAGAGGGGGAGGGGTGCTGCAAGATTCACTCGCCCTGGGCCCTTGGCCCCCTCCATCCGAAATGATTCTGCAGGGAGCGGGGGGGAAGGGGGTGGTCGGGGGGGGGGGGGGCATCACCTCCCACATCTCGATGGTCGAGCATCGATCGTCCGCACCCCCCACTCCTCCGACGCCAGTGTCCAATACCCACCAACCTCGTCATCCTCCAGATCGCCCTCAGGCTCGCGCCCGCCACCGTCCGCCCAGACGCCATCCCGCTGGGGAGAGCGGGGGGATGCGAATGGCATACGCATCCACCCGATCTTCCCAGCATCTACATCATCCCTCCTCATCCTCGGCCCCGCTCTGAGAGCCTGCGTGCACGCGCATGCAGTAGAAGCAGAAAGCACCGCGGTTCTTGCCGTTCCGAGGTTTGTACCCCCAGTGCAAGCATTCCTCGCCGAAGACGTGGTCGAGCTCAGTGTCATGCCTGCCGCGCAGCTGGCAGACCCGCCCATCAGGCGTCACCGACGAGGTGGGGGAGGGGGGTGGGGGGGCGGGGAAGGAAGGGCAGGGAGCACTGACACGAGATTGTTAGGTGAGCGAATTGGACAAGTGAGTGTACAGAGAGGACAAGGAGCGTGACCCCGATCTGTGCACCGTCCTCCACCGTCTGCAAAACGCATCGCAGATCGGCGTTCAGCTTGCCCCAGGGACCGAAGACCATGCGCTTGGGATCCGCACGGCCGTACGAGAGCTCGGGCAACTCCGAATGGTCTGGCACGTCTGCCCCCCAGTCGCCCATGGCGGCAAGCTCGAGAGGCCCGCGGGGCGAACGCTCCGAAACTGCGGGAGCTGCCCGCGCGGCCGCTCGAGCAGCGGAGCTGCGGTTCCGCCCAGGCCCCGTTCTCACCCCGGGGGTGGGCCTGAGGGGGAGGCATGCGCCGAAGGTCATCGGGGACCTCGCCCGAGCAGGGGGGGGCGGGGTGGGGGCATGCACCGAAGGCCATCGGGGAGCTCGTTCGAGGCCAAGTTGAGGCTGAACCCGCGATCGTCTTGCATCGGGATAGCCCGTAGAACCAACGCGACTCGCATCCTGGGCCACGCCTCTCAATGGACCGAAAATGGTTTTAAGGAGGGCGCCCTGGCCCCACGCTGTCCGCCCATCACGCGGCAGCGGCGCAGCGGAGCGGCCAGGGGACGGGGGGCACGAGGAGGTCTGGTAGCAGGGGCGGAGATGGAGGCACGATGAGGAGTAAGAGGAGGAAGGGGCGGGGCGGCTGAGGCGCAAAAGAGAGGCGGCGGGGGTAAAGCTTCCCTCAACGCACCGCAGCAAGCGGAGTCCTAGCGCATCACGAGCCCCCTCGCCTCGGCACCCCGCTGCCAGACGCAAGCCCTGCTTGTGTCTCGAGGGGGGGGCGCGTCCAGACAGCGCCAGTCATCTACGCGGGGGCCGGCGACCTGGGGGGTGGTATAATTGAATCTCCCATAGGTCAACAGCGCTGGGAAAACAGAATTACACCACGGCCTGCTGATGGCGAACGGCCTCGTCCTCATCCACCGCCTCCCCCTCGCCCTCCTCCTCATCAACCTCCTCCTCGTCATCCTCCGACTGGCCTATCCTTCCTTCACGCCCTCCCCCTCACTCTCATCGCGCCATCGCGCTCGATTCGGGGCGGCGCTCAGCGGCGCCGCCCGAAACCCGCGATGGCCGCGAGCGCCACTGCCGCAAATGGGAACGCACTGTATGCGTTCCCCACCAGGAGCCGAGCGGTGTCATCAGAGAGGTCCCTCGCCGCCCCGAAGAAACCGATGAGGCGCAGCAGCAACTCCCCCGAGATCAGCCTCGTCGGGCGCGGGCGAAAGCAACCGACGCGGGCAGCAACCGACTCGGGGAGCGGGCCAATGGCAAACGACTGGGGCGGCTGGAGAAAGCATCAATGGCGGAAGGGCGCTGGCGAACATCATCCGCTACCTCCTCGCCCCCCCCCCCCACGCCGCCCGCTCGTTCGCCCTGCCACGGCATTCACCCTTTAACCCTGTCCCTCCGCCTACGCTTCCGCCTCCTCCTCCCCTACATCATTCAAACGCTCTGGCTCCTCCACCTGCGCCCTCCTCCTCAGCCTGCTACGCCGCCTGCGCGCCTACGCCCCTCTCACCGCACCCTCGCTGCCCCCCTGCTCTGCGGCAATGCAGCGCGCCTCCAATGCCGGGCGCCGTCCTCCGTCAGGACGCGCATGAGCAGAACCGATTTCGTTGTCAGACACGGCATGGCGTCCCTGAACACTGCGCCGTTGAGGTCGGCCCCCAGGCAGAATTTCAACGACAGGTTTATGTCGGCCCATTGGAAGTGGCCCGGGACCGTCGGCCATGGGTCGCACTCCTCCCCGTACAGCGCCACCTGGGGCGCCCGCACCACACTGCCACAGCAGCATCGACGCACGCGCGCCCAAAACCGACTAGGACGTGGTTCAAGGCTGTTGCTAACCAGCCCCGAAAGCAAACAAACACACCCAAGCTGCCCCCAAGACGGCCCCAGGCGACTGTTCAATCACAGGTCGGGGCGGCGGGGGGTGGGGCGGGGGGGGGGGGGAGGGGGGCGGGGGCGATCATCCACAAGGCGCCTCGAGAAAACATGTCGCCCCTGTCTGAGGGGCGCCGCTGACAAGGAGACGCGACGGCGACGTTTCCATCTAGGAACCTCGGTCTGGCATGGGGTGAGCGGCGCAAGGATGAGCACGAGCTCGACGGGGTACTTGGACAGGTCCGGCGGGTAGGGCACGCCGGCGCGATCGAAGTACTCGATGTGCGCATTCGAACTGCCTTTCATCTTTTTCACCTTCGGGGGTTCGTCGCCGATGTACACTGGAATCTCACGCCAGTCGAAAAAACGCTCCAACGGAACAGCGGGCACCTTCAGCGTCGGGGCGATCGCCTCCAGCGCACGGACCCCGTCGCCGCTGGCGTCGCCCATCAAGCCGACCAGCGCCATGCGCGCACGGGACACCCGTGAGCCATACTCCGTGGCCTGCACCCGCATGGCCTGGGCTCTCGCGGGCGAGCGCAGCCGATGCGACGAGGGGGCCAAAGCGTGCCAGGACGAGGTGGAGGAGGGGAATGCGGAGGCGGGGGCGGGGCGGGGCGGGGGCGCGGGGGGGGGGGGGGGGGGGGGGCGAAAAGCGCAGCGAGAGGTGGGAAAGGGGGGGGAGGGGGGGGAGGGACGAGGCGGGGGAAGAGGAGGCAGGAGGAGGAGGAGGAAGAGGAGGAGGAGGAGGAGGAAAGGAAAGGATTGGGTAGGAGGGTCGAGGTCGCAAACGTCGGGTGCCCCCAGCAGATCCAACGCGTGATCGCATGTAACATGCACCCGCGCCGCGTCACATGGATGGACGCAGCGCGCAGCCGAGCTGGATTCTCGACGTCCTCCGATCCCCCCTCCTCCGCATCTCCCCCACTCCGCCTCCTCGTGATCCTCCCTCTCCCTCCTCCGTCTCCGCCTCCTCCGAACTCCCAGCCGAGGGCGGGGCGCGGGCGCTGTAGCCCAATCCGCGAAGGAACTCGCAGATCGCCACCGCGTCGGCGCAGTTCCCGTCGCCAGCTTCGTTCAGCAGCGCCGTCAGGTTCTCCAGCACGACAAGAGCTGGTCTAGCGCGGCTGATGTACTTGGCTGTCATCATCCACGCTTTGCCTGTCTCTCCCTCCCCAGTCTGCACCGGCGACAGGCGGCGGCCACGTGTCGCGCTATTCAGGTTCGACTTGGTCGTGCAGGTGAAGCCTGCCGCGAACAGGTCTATGGCGGGCACCACGACGTGCTTCCCGCTCTTCAGGTCAAACGCGCGGGGCTGAGAGAGCCTCGGCTGTCGCGGATGGGAAGTGCGGGGGGGGTGGGGGGGTGGGGGGGGGAGGGGAGGGGGGCTTGGGGTGCTGACGATGGGCGACTACCAACGCTTGCCGTCGGCGCTGCCGACGCCGTCGTCGTCACGCCGTCGCCGTCGACCCCACCATCGCAGTCGCCGTCGATGCCGCCCTCGCCGCTTGACTAGGCCCTGCTAAATATTTCGTCTTGCTGCCGTGACTGAGTTCAGGCCGATGTCACCAGGAGGGCGCCACGGCCGCCGCATCGACGCCGCCAATGCCGCCGCCGCGACAGCGAGCAGAGACCCGCCCACCCTCGAGGCAGCCGAGGCCCCTGCTCGATCATGTCGCCGAAGAGGAACTCTGTCTCTGGAAACTCATTCTGCAGGAAGAGCTGCTGGCACACGCCTTTCTCGCACTGGAACACAGATCGAAACCTGAACGGCTTGTCGTACAGCGACGCCCACTCGGCAGCGAATGCGTCGAGGATCTTGCAGAACACGTCGCTCCCGCTGAAGCCTCTGGCGACGGCGGGGGGGGACAGCGACCAGGCCTTGGACAGTGGCAAGGAGAGGCGAGTGAGGAGGAGGCGGAGCAGGCGGCGAGGCGAACAAGTAGAAGGGAGAACGCGGAGGTGGCGGAAAAGAAAAGGAGAGCGAGGGGGAGAGGGAGAAGGAGAGGAGAGCGAGGAGGAGGCAATGATCAGGAGGAACAGGAGGGGGCGAGCGTGGCCGGCATCTGTCTCATCCTCCTCCTCCTTGCCGTCCTCTACCTTCTCCTCGCCCCCTTCCTCGCCCTCCTTCGCGTGGCAAGAGGCGAACGAGCGCCAGCAGTTACAGCATGATCAAAAGGCACCAGCAGGACTGGCCTGTCCCGACTCGAAGCTCGCCGCCCGCCTGCGCCAGCGCGTCCATGAGCGACGGCACGTACTGCGGCGGCAGCTGGCCGTGCATCCTGGAGATGCACAGCTCCAGCGGGTTCGGCTGGACCTCCGCGGGGGGCGATAACAAGAAGGAAAAGGATCCAGGATATGATCCGACAGCCTCTAGGCGCCCCAGGACCCCTGGGCGCCCATGGGCGCCCTTGGATTCCATCATGCCAGACCCCTGGCAAACGATGGGGTGGACCCCCCCCCCCCTCCCCCTCCGCGCTTTACTTCCTCAACGCGCTCGTTTTCTTGCGATGTGACAGGCTGCTCAGTCGAACAGCGCCGGCGTCCCCCGACGCGATTCCAGCGCGGCACCTCGGTGACCTAGAGGAGGTGCCGCGCAGCGTCTAGGAAGCAAAGCGCGGAGGAGGAAGGGGGGGGGTGGGGGGGGGGGGGAATGCAGCAGGGAATGCATCGATGCGCACGTAGGGTAGCGGGAAGAGTGCGTGGCCAGGGAGGTAGGCACGGACTGGAGAGCGATGAGCACGACCGGGCACTGGGGGGCCGAGGAGGTGGTATATTAGAAGCGAGGAGGCGAGCAAGACACAGGGTCGCCGCGATATCCCTACAGAGCACTGGGCACAGACCGCTGCAGGTGAACGTTCCTGGCGCTAGCGTTAAATTGGCCAACGGGCTTGGCAGAGGATCCTCGTCGTCCTCCTCCTCCTCCTCCTCTGCCGCCGCCACCTCCTCCTCCTCCTACTCCTGCCCTCCCCCGTCTCCCCTCCCCCACGCCCCCTGCCGCCGTCTCATCCTCCTGCCGCCCCTGCGACTGCGGATGCGGAGGGCATCTCACGGGCCGCCTGCGCTGCCGTCGTCCCCTTGAGGGGGATGCCACTGCGACTGCCCCGTTCTCTCATCGTGAAAGAACACGGACTGGAAGTCCTCCGTGTAATCCCACCGGCCCTTGAGGCCTTAGCGGCGTAGAGGCGCCCCATTGCCGAACAGTGGTTCAGCCTCTGCGCGCGATTCCCTTCGCCCTGGACATAGCTAGGAACGGGGCCAGGGGTCGACGCCCCGTGGCGCGGATCCGGGCCCTGCGGGGCCCGATCTCCCAGAGACGACCTCCAAGAAAACATCGCTTGGAGGAGAGGGGCGAGGAGCACGGGGCAGGAGGGCGACGAGGCCGTGGCCAAGGAGGAGGAGACGACGAGGACCGACGGAGGACGAGGAGGAAGCGGGGGGCGATGATGACACACGGATGGGGGGGGGATGAAAGGCGATTGGGAGCTTCGCAAAGCGTGAATGATATGTCGCCCATCCGGCGCACATCTGATCCCACGTGAGGAACGCCCAGTGCGCCCAGTTCGTGCCCCGCGCTAACTCGTAGGCGGTATGCACCTCGTGCACGGGGTGCACGTGGTGAACGTGCACCTGGGCGCGCGCGCGGGGATGTGGCGTGTGGGGGGGGGGGGGGGGGGGGGGAGAAAGGACAGCGAGAACGAGGGATGGGCGATTGGAGAAGAGGGGCGAGGGGGGGGCGAGGGGAAGGGAGAGGGAGAGAGAGAGAGAGAGAGAGAGAGAGAGAGAGAGAGAGAGAGAGGAGGAGAGAGGAGAGCGGGCGAGAGGTAGACGAGAGAGCGGGAGAGAGGAAGGGGGGAGAGCGAGAGCGAGAGAGGAGAGAGAGAGAGAGAGATGAGAGGCGAGATGGGGGAGAGAGAGAGCCGAGAGGAGAGAGAGATGAGGAGAGAGAGAGAAAGAGAGAGAGAGAGAGACAGAGAGGCGGGGGAGAGAGAGAGAGAGAGATGAGAGGGGGGAGAGCGAGAGAGAGAGAGAGAGAGAGAGAGAGAGAGAGGGAGGGAGAGAAAGAAAGAGAGGGAGGGCGAGAGCGAGAGCGAGAGAGAGAGAGAGGGAGAGAGTGAGAGAGAGCGCGAGAGATAGAGAAAGAGATAGAGAGCGAGAGCGAGAGAGAGAGAGAGAGGGAGGGAGAGAGAGTGCGAGTGAGAGCGAGAGAGAGGGAGAGAGAGGGAGGGAGACAGAGACAGAGAGCGCGAGGGAGTAGGAGGCGAGGCGGAGGAGGAGGAGGAGGAGGTGGAGAAGCTGGCGGAGGCGGAGATGGGCGTGAGGAGGCGGAGGCAGCGGTGAGGGGGATAGATGTCGCAGGCGCTGGGTGCCCCCAATCGGATCCAATGCGCGACTGCATATGCCTGCGCCGCCTCGCCTCGATCGACAAGGCACGCAGCCGAGCTGAATCTCGACGACGAGCGCGGAGGGGAAGGGGGTGGGGGGGGGGGGGGGGGGGGGGGTAGAAAGGGGGGGGGGAGGGGGGAGGGGGGGGGGTTTAGAGCTGCAGCGGGGCGCGACAGAGGAGGAAAGGTGGGGGGGAGGGGAGGGGGGGGAGTGGATGGGTGTGGTGGCGGGGGGGTTGGGGGGGATCGCGGGGGTGGGGTGTGGTGGATGGGTGCGGTGGGGGGGTGGGGGTGGTTGGGTGATGGTTGGGGGGTTGGGGCGCAGGTGGGGGTGTGCGGTGGCCGGGGGGGGGCGGTGGGTTGGGTCAGGGGGGGGGTGGGTGGGTGGGGGGTAGGTGGCGTGTGCGGTGGGGGGGGGTGGTGTGGGGTGGACGGTGGTCGGGGCGTGGCTGGTGGGGTGGTGGTGGGTGGGTGGGGGTGTGGTGTGTGTGTGTGGGTGTGTGTGTGTGTGTGTGTGTGTGTCGGTGTGGTGTGTGTGTTGTGTGTGTGTGTGTGGTGGTGTGTGTGTTGTGTGTGTGTGTGTGTGTGTGTGTTGTCGTGTGTGTGTGTGTGTGGGGGGGGGGGGGGGGAAGGGGGGCTTGAGAAGGAGGGGGGGGGGGGGGGGGGGGGGGGGGGGGGGTGGGGCTGATGAGGGGGGAGGGCGAGCGAGGGCGGAAGGGGGGGGGGGGGGGGGGAGGGGGGGGGGGGGGGAGAAAGGGGGGGGGGGGAGGGGGGAGGGATTGGAGGGGAGAGAGAGAGGAGAGAGAGAGGAGAGAGGGGGAGAGAGACAGCGAGAGAGAGAGAGAGGGAGAGAGAGGGAGAGAGAGAGAGGGAGAGAGAGAGAGAGGGAGAGAGATCGGACAAGTAGGCGGACCAGGGTCCGTCCGCGAGGCGCACTGCGGTGCGACAACTCGCAAGCACTATTTGCGGCGGTGCAGCCTTAAGATACGAGGGCGGGCAACAAAACCCCCTCCCCCGGCGCAGTGCGACTGACGCTACAGACGGCGGACAGACGATGAAGATCTCACTTGACAGACCGCGTGAGGTAAAAGGCCCCAACAAGAAAGGCGACGTGCTGGCACGTGGCTAGGCGGCTTGGCGGACCGCCAGTTGGGCGCATGGCCGCTAAGCGGCGCGCAGTGACGGGGCACCCCCGCCCCCACGCCCTGACACCGTGGACGCGGAGCCACACGTACACACGGGCAGGCAGAAAGGGGAGGATCAGCGCGGGGCACCAGGTGGAGCGCCGCGGAACGATGACAACATAGCTTGGATGTTGAGTGACGGCACGACACCATCGGGCGAGGTGGTGAGCAGCTCGGCGAAGGCTCGCCCAGCGCTGTGGAGGCGCTGGAGTAGAGGACCTTGACGAGCTTGGGCAGCGGCGAGGTCCGCGGCGAGAGCTAAGCACTTCTGCTGAAAGGGCAGCCATAGCCTGTGACAGCTCGGTTTCACGGTCGGTGAGAGGTGGCTGCTCAGTGACATCCGCCGAGGATCTCGAGACAGAGGCGAGGTCCTCGGTACGCCTGTCCAGGTGGGCTAGCGGCGTGCGGGACCCTGAACGCTGACGTCCGTCACCCTTAAAAGGTGTCTGGAGGGGCCGGCGCGACCCCAGGGCTGGAGCCGCTAGGGCCGCGCCCCGAGAGGTCAGGGGAGCCGCTTCCTCTCGATCAGCAACGGAGGAAGCGTGGGTGGGGCACGAGGGCCTGTCTGGTTTAGTACCCTGCGGGGGGGCTGAAGCCGCCCCCGCGGGTCGCTGACGATGGGGAGGCGGAGTGGTATGCGCGGTGGGACCAGTCGTGATGCCGTGCAAGGCCGCTGAGGTCAGTCGCGTAGAGGGTTGGTGACTCGGTGGGGCGGCATGGTCGGCAGCGTGTGGTGTCGGCGGTGCGTCCTCAATGCCACCCAATCCTCGGGGGGCACTCGGGTCGTGGTCGGCGTCTTGGCGGTGACCGATATCGTCGTATGTGGGCGTTAACGCTCTTGGGGACGGCGTCGCAGTAGGATTTGCGAGGTTTCCCGACGGGGCGGGGTTTTCGTTGGCTGGTCCGTCGTCCAAAGCGTCCGATCCCCCGCCGAGGCTGAAAAGGTCATCGTCCTGCTCATCAGCGTCTTGAAAAGGAACGGCGTTGTCATGTGGGTGGACTGACGCACTCAATGGCGGAGTCGGGGGCGCCGTGCGGGTGCCCGCCGGGGCAGGGTTGGCGCTGGCTGACTCGTCGCCCAGGAAGTCCAAACCTCCACCAAAGCCGAACGGGTCGTCCTCCTGTTCGTCGAATAACACCCGTTTGGCCTCGGCCCAGAGCTCGTCGGGGTTTTGTGGGATGTCTGGTCCAGCCGCGGGTGGAGCCTGGTCAGACAGCAGGGGATTTGGTTCCATTTTGTTTAGTTCTGAAGCAGTGAACCCAGCCCTGCGGTGTGGG